AATCACCTATTATTACACAGTGTTTTTGTCTAGTTGCTATCTTTAAGGCATTCATCATTTTATAATCCTCCTCTATCTTTTGATCTGGTGGGCGATAACAAACTCCCAGTGTTAAGTTTCCTTTTGGCCCCCCTATTTCAACCCATAGAACTTCCAGAAGCGAATCCAATTCACTTAGCCTCTCAATCTTTCTAGACTTTATACCCTCTCTGACATACAGAGCTACCCCACCTCCAACCCTTCCCCCCCTATCCTTCCGATATAATATATAACCGGGAATCACTGTGTCCCACTGATTTTCCTCATCCCACCAAGTTTCAGAAATACCCACAATGTCTATTTTTCCCTCCGACACCAAGCACTCCAACTCCCCGATTTTACCTCGGACACTTCTAGCATTTGTATAGAAACAGCTGTAATTTCCCTTACAAGTTAAGCCTGCATCCTTCCTCTTGCTATCTCGAGTCGTTGTCCGGCAGTCCATGTCACCAGCCATGGCCTCTGTGGACAATTTCAATCCACCTCCCTGTAGAAAAGCAACCGGTACCCCCTCACCTCTCTCAGATGAGCCAACCCGAACCAGAGACTTTTCATCTCCTGTCGGCTTTCCCCCAATATTCAGTTTAAAAGCTGCTCTGCCACCTTTTTGATTTTAAGTGCCAGCAGCCTGGTTCCTTCTCGGGACAAGTGGAGACCGTCTCGCCTGTACAGCTCCCTCTTGTTCCAAAAAGTATCCCAGTGCCTAACAAACCTGAACCCTTCCCCCCTACACCATCGTCTCATCCACGCATTGAGACTCCTGATCTCTGCCTGTCTCTCCGGCCCTGCGCGTGGAACAGGTAACACTTCTGAGAAGGCTACCTTGGAGGTCCTGGACCTAAGTTTCCTGCCCAGCAGCCTAAATTTCTCCTCCAGGACCTCACGACTGCATTTCCCCACATCGTTGGTGCCGACATGCACCACGACCACTGGCTCCTCCCCAGCACTATCTACCAGCCTATCTAAAACACGCGTAATGTCCGCTACCTTCGCACCAGGCAGGCAAGTCACCATACGGTCAGTACGCGGGTTCGCCACCCAGCTGTCTACCTGCCTAAGGATCGAATCACCCACTACCAAGAGCCCCCCTCCCACCCTGCTCAGGGATGGTTCCTTGGTGCAAAAGGAGAGCCGCTCACCAGCTGGGGAAGAGGTCCCTTCTGAGGGCACATTCCCCTTATCCTCAGCATGGTGCCCTGTTTCCCCTAGACCCTCATGCTCCCTGACAGCAGCGGGGCTGCCAGATCCAGAGTGGGACGAAGCTAACAAGTCCCCGAGAGTCTTTTCTGTGTGCCTAGCTGACTGTCTCTGCTTCTCCAGGTCAGCCACCTTGGCCTCAAGGGAGCACACACGTTCCCTGAGAACCAGGAGCTCCTTGCACCGAGGACACACCCAAGACTTCTGCCCAGTGGGCAGATAGTCATACATGTGACACTCCGTGCAAAACACTGGATAGCCCCCAACCCCCTGCTGGCATTCTGGCTTCATAATTCTTTTAAAATAAATAAATATAATCCCCCTTTTAAACCCTTGGTATTTATGTGGGTTTTGTTATCAAGTCAAATTATTTTACGGGAAAGACAAAGAGCCTAGGGCCTTGTCTTTCTGGCTCTTTTTGGGCTTCTTACAGCGCCCCTAGTCTAAGAGTCCCTAGGCTAAGAGCCACAGGCAAAGAGCCCTTTAGCTCACCCTTCGGCTCGTGCCAGAGGCTCGTGCCTCTGCCAAGGTGCTTCCTTAAATAGAGGCCTCCCCCAGCAGAGGTCAGGCAGCAGCTATTCAAATTCAAATTCACCCAGGCACTCAATCACAGGCAAAACAATGCCCCTTCCACTTCCTCTCAATTACAGGCAATCCCAGTCAAACAATGCCCGTTCCTCTCCCACACTCAATCAGCCAGGACTCTGCAAGAACTCTAAGTGCTTCCACACACTGCTAAACACAGTTTTCCCACAAAATATCCTTAGCTGAATTCTCTCAGCTGAAAGCAAGTAAAAGAAACCCACTCACCTCTCTCACAGCTCTCTCTCCTGCTCCTGCTCAGAGCTCAGCTGGTCTCCTCTGCCTCTGGCAAGGTGCTTCCTTAAATAGAGGCCTCCCCCAGCAGAAGTCAGGCAGCAGCTATTCAAATTCAAATTCACCCAGGCACTCAATCACAGGCAAAACAATGCCCCTTCCACTTCCTCTCAATTACAGGCAATCCCAGTCAAACAATGCCCGTTCCTCTCCCACACTCAATCAGCCAGGACTCTGCAAGAACTCTAAGTGCTTCCACACACTGCTAAACACAGTTTTCCCACAAAATATCCTTAGCTGAATTCTCTCAGCTGAAAGCAAGTAAAAGAAACCCACTCACCTCTCTCACAGCTCTCTCTCCTGCTCCTGCTCAGAGCTCAGCTGGTCTCTGTTGGTTTACTTCCATTTTGTAATAACAGTCTTTAAAATGGACTTTAAGATGGGATTATCTGATTACTCCGGGGTCTATCTCTAATTGGCCATTACAGAGTCCCTTTTTTCCCACCTGTTTCATACTATATCAGAGAGCTTACTCATATTTAAGTATTTATTTTATTTATACCCACTTTTCTCCCTTACGGGAACTCAAAATAGCTTATGTTGCTCTCCCCATCTCCATTGTATCCTGGTTAGACCTAATTAGAGGAATAGACTGATAAGGTCCTAATTCAACAGGTAGGTATGAAGCTGGCAGGGGTGCAGGCCAGATTTGGAGTCAGGATGGACTCACTTCAAGTTTTGTTAGGCAACTTGTTGGCGGCAACCCGTGTCAGAGTTAGGGTTGCTTATTTGAAAATAAAGAAATATATATTTTTATGCTAAGCGTTTCAAATAGCTGATGGGCAAGAAAGTATAATATGAGTAAGCTATTATAGTTTTAACTAGCCAGCTTCAGAATATGTCTGTTGTGTGTTAGGAGGATAGTGGTTCAGGTATGTTTCCCCTCACCCTTTTAATATCCTTTTTTGCACATTCTTTAGATGTGTTAGAAAAGAACTTAAGGCAGTGCTCTCTGCTTCTTCCAGCCCTGAATCATGTGTTTGTAATTGTGACAATGATTTTTGAAACCGTAGTTACCTGGGATGAGAAAGAGAGCAAGGTCTGGTCCCTACAAAGGATAGCTAGTGCAGTGTAGTCTAAATAATACTACTAGGGTTATTAAGGTTACTGGTTGAATATATGTGAAGCATTTCAGAGAGCTAGTATAGGGACATGCTGGGGAGACCTCGGATCAAATTCCCCTTGAGCCAGTGAGCATATCGGCCTTGAGCAACATGTACTCAGTCTACCTCACAGAGAGGTTGAGGATTCAAATGAGTGCTCCCCTGAGCTCCTTAGTTAAAGATCATAATGTTGATGATGAATGACATTCCAGACTCATGTACTTTTGAGGGGGGGAAACTCAGCAAGCACTTGAGCTGAAAAACCCTTAGGATGCTTAGCAAGGAAGTCTTTTACGACTGTGCTACTTCTGTAACCCTCTCCTTCCTGCCTGTCTAATGAGTCATTGTATAGTGCTGCTGTACTGTCTCTCGATAATGCAGGAGCAGAAGCTTCTAGCAGAACAGCTTGTAGGCCCAGTATCCTGGACAGGGTCTTCTCTCTTCACTTATGTAATGCAAATGTGCCATGCAAGAGAGATTGCATCTGACTCTAAATAGTTTTAAACTGGAGCACCAGTTAATCCCACTGTTAGGTTACTATTTTATACATTGAAGTGGGAGTACATTCCTGTTGATCAATAAGATTTGCACATAGATTAATTTATGAGCATGATGCCAGTCAAGCTGATCATCAGATTTTTCCTCCAGCTCTGTCTTGGTAAATAAGGTCAGCCTCAACTTGTGGCAAAGCAGTAACTCGAAAGTGTCAATATGCAAATGATTTAGAATATTAATACAGAAATTATGGAATTTTAAATTCAGTAGATCTTTTAAACAGTTTTATAGGCTCTTGGGGTTTAATAATTGATTTCATATGCAGTGCACACTAGCACTGAAATATAAACTGGATAAATCTGGTGAGGATTTTCAAGTGGCTGCTGCATGCTGTCTATTCTTTTGTTGTTCATCACGCCTTTTATCCACTTGAGAGTTGTTTGTGCAGTCTCGCTGTGTGCGAGTTATTGCCTTATTTCGCAAGCATGCAGTGCAGATACATTCCTAAGGTACAAATGGTAGTGTTTCAGGGAACATTGTTCGGGGGACAAGCTTATTCTCCCTCCCCCTGATTAATTCATACCTCAGTTTATTTTACAAAGACATTTATTTGGCAATATAAATTCAACTCCACTGAAGATAGGTTTCTGAAGAATGTTTTCAGTAATCTTAACATGTGATCAGTAATGGGATTAAAGCAAAACAAAGGGCTCTTATTCTAGATTTATGCATGTGTTTTAATAGTCTCCTTTGCCCATTCTAGTTCAGTAGTATGGAAGTCAGGTGCATCACAGTAATTTGGGTGACGATCTCTATCTAAAATTGTAGTGTATTTCACTTTTGCTCTCTGAGAATGTGTTAATTTTTTCTGTCAATATCTGAAAGGATAGAAGTTCCTTAGGTATGGAGTTGGTTTTGGTGATGTGAGCCCTTCCAGATGTGTAACTGTATGACAGGAAAGGAAAAATCCTTAGGGTGTTATTCCAATCTGATACTAGTTTTCTGAGAATATTTGATAAGTTGTCTGCTCAAAGATGCTGTCATGCTAAAATTGTGTCCATTATTTCTTGTAACAATTTCATAGTACCAAAATAAATTGTTTGGCAAAAAGGGGTATTAATCTGGATGCTGCTCTTTCCTTGTTCTGATGCTATTAAATTTCTCTGAAGCTGTGACTAATTTAAGATTTGCACATTTTGCTCATTTACCAGTAATTTGTGATGAAGTATGCTTGCATTATTTACTGATGACTTTGTAACGGTCCTTTTTTATTGTTGTTTTTTTCCTTAGGACCGGAATCGGCCCTATGATACTTTTAACTTGCACTCTTTGGAAAACTCATTAATGGATATGATAAGGACTGATCATGAGCCTCTTAAAGGTAAACACTACCCTCCCAGTGGCCCACCAATGAGTTTCGCTGATATAATGTGGAGGAATCATTTTACAGGTTAGGAATATTCATATGTTCATACTCACTTTAAAAGAAAAACAGCTGTTTATTGCTATATCATTGTTATACTTTTTTTTTTGCTAGTAAGCAAGTTGCTAGATATTTAATGCTACTCTCTTGACTTTATAATCTCAGTTATCCAAGGTGAATAAAGTTAATGATACAGTAATGATTTTCATTTTAAAGTATATTTTCACATGCTTGTTTTAAATATCTACCTGTAATAATAATGCCTGCTATATGAGTGTAAGATACAGATCTCAAATGGTTGGGAACTGGGACAGAGAAGGATTGCATTTTTAAAAAATGATCTGCGTGATTGATATAATGAAATATTGATGATTTCTTCAGCTGAGCAGACCAAGCTGTTCTTTCAGCTTCAGTGATAAATTAAAGTACTTCTAGTACTCATCATAAACCTTATGAATGAGTGATTTGGGCAGCTGTTAGTTTAATAATTCATACTGATGTCTACTACCACATCAATCTCTTAAATCTTTAGTTAAACTTGAGTGTTGCTATATAGTCTCTAGGAATTATTTAACTTTAAGGATAGAGAGCAATGAAATAGTTCAACAAATATTACCACAAATATTCTATAAATATTGAGATAATAAATATAATTGCTTATCAATCTTGAGAATCAAACCTGATATCTACTGATTAGGCTTTGGCAGAGGGTAAGAGGTCTGTACCTACAGGCCAGCAGAGAGATCTAATCCATCACTATCTCTGATTTAGGATTAAGTGATATCTGTGTGTCATTAAGGATATAGCTGTAGTCATATCAAATAGATGGTTTGTAGGAGGGTGCGACCAGCTGCCAAGAGTAGTGGAGTAGTTCTGTTTTTTCCCCTGTGGCCATGAAGAATCAGGACCTGGAGCTTCACATGAATGAAAACTGTTTGAAATAGCTCATTACTTTGGGTTGGCTGGTTTAGAGGAATTGCCCTGTAATCTAGACTACAATTTTTGCTAAAAGTTTTATGTATGTTGTTTATCAAAACTGAAACATTACATTCTGAAATGCTGTGCCTGTGATTTTTTCTTAAAATATAATAATAACTTTGGGAAATATCACAGTTGCACAGTTTCCCAAAAAGTTTAGAGTTATACGAATAGCATTAAATGTGCTCCTACAAATGCAGATGGAGGGCTGTTTAAGTCTGTCTAGGCTGGAGCTTTAAATAATGTAAATAAGATGTGGTGGCATTTGCTAGCTTCTACCTTGAATCTAGAAATTCATTATGAACGTATGATAGCTTTGTACACCCAGCTCTATCTACTGATGGACGGCCACCCGGATATGGCCCCTAGAGAGTTGGAGGAGGCGTTACAGGCCATGGTTGGATGGTTGCGTCAGAGCCAACTGAAGTTAAATCTATCTAAGACGTGGGTCCTGTACCTGAGTCGTGGGAGACTGGGACAGGGGATTGGGCTCCCAGCCTTCGAAGGGGCTCCATTGGTCCTGACATCGGAGGTAAAGAGCCTGGGTGTGTTCCTGGATGCCTCCCGTACAATGGAGGCCCAGGTCACTGCCACTGCTAGGTCTGCCTTTTTTTACCTGAGGCAGATCAGGCAGTTAGTGCCATATCTCATATCCCGGAACTTAGCGACTGTGATCCATGCAATGGTCACGTCCAGGTTGGATTATTGTAACTCTCTCTACGTGGGGCTGCCCTTGACTCTGCTCCGGAAGTTACAGCTATTGCAGAACGTGGCAGCACGGGTGTTGACAGCGACGCCTGTACGTGCGCACATCCGCCTAGTGCTGCGCGACCTGCACTAGCTGCCTCTCGAATTCCGGATCCATTTCCACATGTTGGTGGAAAAGCCCTATACAGCCTTCAAAGCCCTATACGGCCAGGGGCCAGCATACCTTCGAGACCGTCTCTCCCCATACGAGCCCTGTAGAGCACTGAGGTCTACCAATCAACATCTTTTGGTGGTCCCCGGCCCCAGGGACGTCCGACTTGCCTCTGCCTGGTGGAATGAGCTCCCGAGTGAAATCAGGGCCCTGCGGGATTTATTACAACTCCACAGGGCCTGCAAGATGGAGCTCTTCCGCCAGGCTTTTGGTTGAGGCAGTGGACATTCCCCCCTCGAGCCCCCTCCATCTGTAGCCTGGGTCTGTCTGTAGTCTTGGTCCTTGGGATCCTAAATTTAAAGATCTTTATAACAAAAATTGATTTTAACATCATCAACCACTGAAGCATCTGACTTTTATTAGAGTGGTATGGTACTTATGACTTATGTGTTATGTTATTTTACATTGTGTTTTAAAATGGTTTTAACTGTATTGCACTTTTACTGTTTGGAACCCGCCCTGAGCCTGTCAAGGGGAGGGTGGGATACAAATCCAATAAAATAAATAAATTAATTAACTAGTCTAAGATGGCTGCTCTCCACTCATATAACACCCTGTGTGCATGTAGCTGTGTGTTGTAATTTTCTTTGAGGGCACAAGAAGAGCTCTTGGGAATAAGAATGCTGACTGTAGAGATACTTTCACTGCCCCTTCTCCCTCTGTGGTGGAGGACATCCTGAAGGATGATTCCCACCATCCAATCAAGGAGGCAGGGACAGGGTTTTTTTACTCCCTGTCTCTTGTCTGTAGGACTCACCGTCTCCAGTTTCTTTCCTTCCTCAACAGGGAGAGCAGCTAATGAATAGGCTTTGCCTTTTTCTACACTAGAATCTTTTTTCTCTTCTTTTTCTATCATTATTCTCTAAAAGTGTTTTCTATTCTATCCTATCTCCCTCCTCTAAGTCCTCTTTTGACCTGGACTCCTTCCTTCCTCTGATCTCTGGGAGAGCAGCGAAGGGCAGCTGACAGGCTCACTCTAGCGATGGTGGCCATTTTGTGGCAGTGACAAAGAGCAAAACCAATCAGCTGCTCTAATTATGGTGCAGAAGGATAGCAGTGATGGATTTCTATCCGAGGGAGAAACCGACCCATCCTTAATGTCAGGCACAAGGGAGACTGCCAGGGGAGCAGACAAGGTCCACATTTGGCTCACCTCTGCGGCCACAGCCAACCCCTTGTTGTGAGAAGAGGAAGCGCACGGGGGGAAAAGTCGGTTAGTGAAGAATGTCCTGGGGCACAAAGCTGGTTTGAGCCTTCTGGCTATCGACAGTGGCCATTTCACACAGCCACAAACACTTCACAGAGGCAGTTCTTATGTGAGCACGGTCAGTCTGGAGGATGTGGAGCCTGACTGTTCTGTCACATCACAGCATTTTGGAGCGGAGATCCAGGGAGCTCATTGCTCAGTCTGGAAGAACAAGGCTCCCACTTTGATGGCAGCTATGCCAGCGGGCAGACAACTGGTAAAGTAAAAAAAACCCTGGGGGGGTTTCATCTTCCCCCTGAGTTCCTATCTTTAATATACAGACCATGAAGGAGGAGATTCAGAGTTACTGCCTTAGTGGTGCAATGCCCAAAGGAAGCCAAAGCCAGAGTGGTCACAGCCTTGCTCCTCCCCTTCCCCACCAAGACACAAAAGAATAGGAAAAGCTAGACTGGAGGGGAGAGGGGCATCCTGGCCCACTAAAGCAGCCCAGAAGGAACCCTGTAATAGAGAAAGGGGGAGAAATACATTGGGCTGAGACCCAGATTCTTCTTCTGGCACTGAGTCTGATAGTAGTGAGGAGGTAGAGTTTCTGTCAGATGATGAAGATGATGAGGACATTGAAATGCCAGTGCAAAAAAAATTCCTTAAGGTTGAGGACTACCAATATCTCCTGTAAAAACTCTCACAGCACTAGAGCACCAAGAGTCCCCAGCAGGTGAGGAGAAAAATCTTGAACACCCTAATCAAAAAACTAGACCTAGGGGAAATTAAAAAAAAAAGAATTCCACCAGCACTGACACCACTGAAAGAGCATTTCAATTCCCAGAGTTCTTTGAAAAGCAATTAAAATACGAGTAGGTGAAACCTTTAGCAAACAGGCACTAACCAGGGTTTATCAAGAAGTTGCACGCTTTACCATTGTTTGCTAATTAGTTCTTGCAGGTTCCACTGGTGGATGCTCCTGTTACAGCACTGCAGTCCTTTGGCCTGCTAGCAGAAGATGATCAAGGCACTATTCATGACAGCTTAGATAATAAAGCAGATTTCGCACTGTGGAAAGCTCATGATGCTATGGCTATGGCAATCAAGCGTCTGCAACTATATCCATTGCATGGAGGGCAGCTATCATTTGGACAAAGAAGATACTCCAACTGCTACCAGAGTTGAATAGGTGACTCAGGGAAGGGGCCAACAGAATTCTTAAGGTAACCTCCTTCACAGCAAACATGATGTTGATCTCACTAATATTTTCATCCAGAACCATGTCTTCGGCTGCCACAGCAAGAAGAACCTCTAGCTCCAGGCATGGCAAGCTGACTTGCATTCAAAGGCTATTATGACAGCATACCTTTTGCAGAGAGACATATTCTTTGGGGACTGACTGGACAAAATCCTGGTGGAAGGTACTACTGAAGACCCTGAGAAGTTTGGATAGACGGATGTATGGAGGGTCTTTTGTTCCCAGCATGCCTAGCCAAGATCCAAACAGGCCAAGGAGATTGAACTGGAATCAATTGAGACACTTCCTCAGAAGAGGAGGTTTTAATTCCAGATTTGCTAGATAGCCCAGGAGCAGATCAGAGAAGATCAACCGGGATGGAAAGCACCCCAAAGCATGACGTCGCCTCGATTTCGGTGGGAGGAAGACCACTCCACTTAAAAGAAGTCTAGATCCAGTCTCAAGCAGACCTCTGGACTGTGAAGCTAATCACCAAGGGTTACACTAGTCACCAAGGGTTATGCAATAGAATTTTCCAACCCTCCATTGGAACGCTTCATTCCAAGAGCCCAGAAAAATGCTTCAGGATTGCCCAGGTAATACAACATCTTTTCACCACCCAAGCCATTGAGCCTGTCCCACCTTCAGAAAAGGGGTGCAGAGTTTTTACTCTGTCTTCTTTACTGTTTCAAGAAGAACAAGGA